TTGATACATATAGTTATACTATATTTAGTTGTATACTGAGTTGTCCAACATTTTTCTAAATTAAGTTTATATTCATCTGTTCGACAAAATTATACAATCATAATAGGACACCGAAGAACTCTGATATAACTTAGATCTGAGTTTGTATAATATCAGCCAAATAGGCATATAAAATAGGCTAAAATTTAAAATTTTCCTATATAAAAATGCAATATTTGATGAATTTCTATGCAAAATTTCCTTTTTTAGTAACCTCTAAGTTATATCAGAGTTCTTTAGGGTCTTTTCATAATTATAATCATTCTCATCAAACGATTATGATATAATAATTACATTAATATAAATTTTATTTTATTAATGAAATTATAGCATGAGATAACATTTTATATATTGCGCAACAAACAGATTCAAAGTAGCTAATCTAACTCTAATTATCTAATCACCATTTTCATTTATCTAACTATAACCTTAACTAACTATATTAATCTAATTACACAATATTTTATAACAAACAAATGGTTATTAAATAGTGCAAGACCAACACCAATAATATACTTAATTACTCAAACAACCTAAAGACAATCTATAGAATAACAAATCCCACAGTACTATCAAAAAAGATAGTGCAAAATCAATACAAAGACATAGTAGAATATCTGCGAAAAAAAGTGGGTATTAATTATGCACTAATAAAGAAAAAAACACGAGATACTTGAAACAAATCAAGCACCACCAAAAAAGACAGCACGAAATCAATACCAACGATATAATAAAACATCTACAAAGAAAAGTAGGTGTTAATTATGCACCAATAAAGAAAAAACACGAAATACTTGAAACAAATCTAATCCATAGAATAACAAAACCTACTACCAAAGAAGACAGCATGAAATCGATACCAATGTTATAGTAAAACTCCTACAAAGAAAAGTGTATATTAATTACCAATAAAGAAAAATATAAATCAAGCAACAAAATCTAATCCAAAGAATGACAAAACCCACACCAAAGAAAATAGTATGAAATTGACAACAATGATATAGTAGAACATCTACAAGGAAAAGTATGTGTTAATTATGCATCAATAAAGAAAAAAACACAAGATATTTGAAACAAATCAAGCAACAAAATTCAACTCATAGAACAACAAAACCTATTACAAAGAAAAACACAATATACTTTAAACAAATCAAGTAACAAAATCTAATATATAGAACAATGAAACCTATTACCAAAGGAGATAGCGCAAAATCAACACTAATGACATAGTAAAACACCTACAAAAAAAGTGGGTGTTAATTATGTACCAATAAAGAAAAAAACATGAGATACTTGAAACAATCAAGCAATAAAATTCAATCTGTAAATATTATCAACTTTTGTAAGTTTTTGACTCAATAAAACCTCTGACACTATATAAGGAATAACTCTATAAATATCACCTTCTAAACTAGTTTCGTTAGGTTTTTTAAACAGTCTGAGATCTGAGATATAAGATTAGATATTTTTACTAATACTTTTATTCAGGAATGTACATTTTAACTGTCCAAAGGCTTTTTTGATACTGTCCAACATCCAAATATCCAAGTGTCTAAAAGTGTCCAGAGTATACTTAAGCTTTAATAATTAATAAATTTGTTTAAAATATATATAACTATATATTTTTTTAGGTGCTGAACATATTTTACTTAGAAAGTAATATAGATTATCTTAATAAAATTTTGAGTAATTTTAATTTATTTAATTGTTCAAAATTGTCTAAAGTGTCTAAACTCACTGTCCACAACTGTCCTGTAACAATACTGCTTTTATCTATCTATAGAATGACGAAACCCACCTACACTAAAACAAATTGCACAAAATTGAAAATACCAAAACACCTATAAATAAAAGTAGATATTAGTTAAGAAACAAATCAACCAACGAAATCCAACTCATAAAATGGCGAAATCTACTTATAAACAGCACCTAACCAGATTATATAAAATCGACAACACAATATTAAGCTTTTAATGATAACAATTATCAATATCAATACCAACTGCAGCACTAATGGCAGCATCAATAACAATACCAACAATGATACCAACTACAAAACAAACCAAAAAATTTAATACAGTGAAAAGAAAAACAAAACAAACAAAAGATTAAAGATAATCTTGTATCACTTATCTAGCAGCATCTAATAATAGCTTAGCGATGCAAAGTAAGATTGTTCGACCTTGTATTGGCAATTAGATATACACATAAATCTTAGTCATGTGATTTTTTTGTTCGTTAATTGGTTAAAAGAGCTAGAGATATATAAGCTAGGCATCTCTAGCTAAAGATGCCTAAAATTTCTCATAAATAAAATATACTATAAACTATATAAATAAACTAATAAAATGATAAAATAAAGTAAAAAAGAGTATTTTAGTAAAGGGAGTATTGTGACGAATTTTGTTTATTTCATATCTAATGACCCAAATCGAATAATTTTTATACTATTTGATTTGTCTCATAGAGATGAATTGAATGGTAGTTAGATCATCTAATTCTGATCACTGAATCACGAGATATTAACTATCATAATTACTAATATCTTGTGATCCAGTGATCAGAATTAGATGATCTAACCACTATTTGATTCGTCTCGATGAGACAAATCGAACAGTACAAAAATTATCTGATTTGGATCACTAGATAACGAGACAACCTAAATTATCACAATATTTTCACCTTCTCTAAAATTTAACTTTTTTGTATAGTACACAACTCTAAAAATTGCTTTTTCCAAATAATCTTTTATATTACCAATTTTATATATAAATACATATATAATTTAAATAAAAAATAAAAAAAAATTTATAATAAAATAAAAAAATTTTATATTAATTTTTTCGGTTGATCTTTAGTATAGATGGGTATATATAATTATTATACAATTATAACATATATAACTTAACTATTTTAAACTAATTTAAGTAATTTTATAAATTATTAGAGTCAAGGTTAAGGTTAGAGTTTAAATTAGTTCAAATTAATTAGGTTTTATATATTATAATCTTGTAATAATTTATATATGCCCACCTATACTAAAGGAGATCCATTTTTTCAACTTCGCCAAAATACATCCTTTTACCTTATATAATAATAATATAAAATAGAGCAAATTTATTTGTTATCAGAATGATAGTCTCAGAGTGTGATTAACCAATTAAATCACAAGATTATATATAATTTGAAAATATAAAAACTTCGATTTTTTTAAAAAATTGTTATTATCTCAAAATTCCATATATAAAACTACATTTTATATTTTAACAAAAAAATTTCTTATGAAATTTTACTATATTATATTCTACTTGAACTTTAACTATAGCTCTAATCCAACTCTAATGATAATACAGTCTCGGATATTACCAAATTTGGATAATATAGATCATACCCTTTTTTGTATAATTAGAACATTCTTGATACTTCCATTTCAGTCTATCACTATTTTATACTAATCTATGGGGCTAAAATTATGCCAATCATCATTTGCTTTCTGATTTGGTAAACAACCACCTTATAAAGCCTCTGGGATCACAAGGGATCCCTAGACTATATGTCTATAAGACCATTTATATCAGAATTAATTCAAACATTTATTATTAACTATCTCATGATCCTGCTACTGGCTGTTTTAATATATAAATCAATTCTAGAGTATTTTTTACTATGTTGTAAATCGATTTCCATATTTGATAAAATCTGAAACTATAATAAGTTTGATACATTGTTTTTATTTTGATTATAATTTATTGGCTGATCATATTCCAATAACTGTTGCCACCAATGACAAATATATTTTTTCTATAAAATATATAATAAAATTTAAAAAAAATATATAAGAAATATGTTAATAAAAAATATCATATATTACAATGTATTCTTGTTTAAAAATTTATTGTCAACTTTTCTAAAAATCTATTAGCTTGCCCCAAAAAATTCACTTTTTTTACTTATTTAAATTTTCAAAAATCTAACAAATCCAAAATTTTACTTACTAAACTTGGAAAACTTATTAAACATTTTTGAAAAACTTACTGGCTATTCTAAAATTTTATAAATCTACAATTTATCTAACAAAAATTAACTATATCTCAAAACCATACTAAGTAAACTTCACTTAATTTTCTAAGTACACTTGTTTCTGAGATTAAAATACACATAATATCAAAACTTTAGACCTACTGTATATCTTTTAAACTCATCAAGAAAATTAACAAAAAGTCACAAATTTTCTTCTTAATATCTACAATTCATCTAACAAAAATTAATAATATCTCAAGATTTTATTAAGCAAATCACACTGAATCTTCTAATTAAATTTTCTGAAATCAAAATACATATTATTTTAAAGTTCCGGACCTGTATTTTTCCAACTCATGGAGAAAATCAATAAAAATTTTTATACAAATAAAATAAACTGGTTTTCATAATATTGGCAAAATTTTTTTTTTATATGTATAAAATTTTTTATATGTATAGATAACTCTTTGCTATTTAATTTTAATTACGTAAATTTACAATTATTATATATCTAAATGTTAAATTTATGTAGAGTAACTTGGACGGATATATAAACTTTGGTTGGGTAAAGATAGATATGTGTGGTAGTACGTACCTTAATTAAAAAAGTAAGATTTCGTTATCGTTATCTTTATTTCACGCGTATTGAAATTAATTTGATTGGTTGACGATTACTAATCATATGAATATCTTCCCGTGAGGATACTGAACGGACAAGCTACGGACAGTTCTTAGGGACAGTTTAAATCACGTGAATAGTTGTTAGGGACAGTTAAGGTTTAGTGGTTTTAGCAATATCACGTGAATTCGACTGTCCATACTGTCCGTAAGAACTGTCCATAGATCCTGCGGATACTGAATTAGGTAATTCTGTAATTTAAGTCTTAGGATTAAAATTTCATTAACGCTAAAGTAAGACGTTTAAGAAAGTGCAAGTAATAATGAATTCTTTTAAGCCAGTTAGTGTCATTCTTCGAAATGATTTTAGTCAAAGTGATGACAGTGGTATAGATAAAACTTTTCAAGACTTGTTGAATGCCTGTCGCTCTGGTGATCTTGAGAGGGTAGAAAGGTAAAGTAAAGGTTATGTTCTTAATTTACGTTCGATATTATTAAGCTTTTTTGGATACCTTATTTACAGCTTAGTTCGAAACTATTCAGCACCTATCAATAAAACCGATTTCTGGCAATGTTCGCCTTTATATCTAGCTTGTTTATGGTGAGGGATTATTAATATATAACTGATATTTATTTAATCATAAGAACGCATTTAAACTAAATTAATAAATTGAATTCATATAATTTTTAAGTGGACATTACAAAGGTTAGATTCGTGAGAATGGCATACTAAGTGGTGTATATTTTTCATGAATTACGAACAATTCAAATTGACATGTACTTTGTGGACAAGTGGTGTCATTTTTACTAGAGAATGGCGCCCGTTGTGAGCGAGATACCTTTGAAGGAGAACGGTTCGTTTCATTATTTGTAAATTTATTCAAAATCAATTTCAAGATCGATATAATTCATTTATTTTTTATTTAATCTGGTTAGTTGTTTTTATGGAGCACTTACTTCCGAGATAAGGGAACTTTTACAGGATTACAAATTTAGTAAAGCAGTAGATGAGAGCCAGGTTAGTTTTTTTTTTTCAAGAGATCATAGTTCATTATTTAAGAATGTATTTATAATACTATTGACTAATTTAATAATTTTTAAACAATAAAAGCCATATTTCAAATTTTTGACCTTACTCTACGATCGACCACTTGACACATTTAGTGATGTGGTATTCAAATTACCATTTTTTGAAGAAATTCACGCGCATCGATGCATTCTTTATGCGCGATCAAAGTATTTTGCCAATAAATTAGAAACAACCTGGCGTAATTATGAGATTATAGAAATTACGGAACCACAATGGCACCCAACATGTTTCCGTGGAATTTTGAGATATTTATATACAGGCGAAATAGTCACAATCGCCAAAGATTTAGAAAATAAAATGATATTATTGAGCCAACATTTTGAATTAGATAATCTGGCAGAACGGTATAAAGCAGATAACCAGATTTCCAAAAAAGAAGTTCAAGTACTTGATAAGTTAGAATCACAAGAACTTCGACAGGATTTTGAAAAGTTTTTTAAAAATGTTGTATTAAGAAGTGCTGATATATCAAATAATGAAGAAATACAAAGATTTGCGCAAGCGGATATTTGTATTCAAATAGATCAACACATTTTTCCA